CATCTTCATTCTCTCAATTCCGATCACTTTTGATAGGAATTGTAATTCCCATATTTTAGACTCATTGGAATTCAATTCTCAACCTTTTTATTATCCCAAACATAATATATGGAAATGGAATTGGAAATGGAATTCCAATTCCTTACTTTTTTGTCAATCCAAACAGGCTGTGAAGTAGACATCATGCCTTCCCTACAAATAAGCGAACGATTCTCCTATACCCACACCATCCATATCCATATATAATAAGTATAGAAGAAGTAAAATCATAAGTCACTAAAACTAGGAAAAATAAGTAAAAAGAAGACCATTTTAAGAAAATGATATATATATAGAAAATGCTGGAAAAATAATCATGATTTCCATTTTCCTTTCTTTTCTTGAAATTCTTTTTGCCGCTTCTCTCTCTTTAAGTCGTTAGCGTCTCCTGCCTAGCGGTTTCTACTCACAAGCGAGCCTCCTACTGTCGGTGATTCTTCGCCATCTTTGTCCGTGTACCTAAACGACGTTCGGTGTAGCTGGTGCCCTTATGCATGATCAGGTTATAAATTCCTAGATGTGCCTACGGTCGTATTCCTCGAAGTATTCTAATGCATAACTACTCACACCAACCATCAACAAATACACGAAACCATAGATACATTTAGAGGTTTTCATGGACAAACAAACAAAACAAAAATAGTAAAGTTGTCTAGGGATTTTCAATTTATAAATGCATAAAAGTAAAAATACATTATTGTACTAAATCATGAACTCGAATGAAACCAAGTAAACTAGAGCTAATTCATATAATGCATTGACTATTCACCCCAACCATTAACACATACACGAAATGATAGAGAACTATTGCATATCCATGTTAAAAGAACCAAGAAAACTGTTACAATTAGGACGAATACACTATCAAATTACATATGAATGTAAGGAAATAATCCTATAATTAATCCAGATCATCAATACTAATTCAAATAGGAATCTTACATTTTCCTCAGACCTCACACACACAAAAACAAAAACAAAGACAAGCATCCCCCTTTGCCCCAAAAACCAAAGAAACAAACATTGTCTCCATAGTGTACAAAAAAACAAGAAGTCAAAAAAATATTTAATCAACTCTTTCTCTCCATCCTGACCCGGGACCGCTCCTTCAGCCCATGGAGCTGCATTTGCCACACCGCTCTCGACGACGGCGACGAGCACTCACTCCGACGCGGCCTCCCGGCGGAGTTGGCCGTGCTGAGCTGGTAGTCGTAGACTAGACGGGAAGCCGGGTCGGACAGCGTCTCGTAGGCCTCGCGGATCTCCAAGAACCGGCGGGTCGACTCCTCTTTCCCGGATGCGGGCCGGACGTCCGGGTGGTGCTGTCGGGCCAGCTTTCTGTAGGCCTTCTTTATCTCCTCGGGCCCAACACTTTCCGATGAGAGTGACAGCACTTGGTACAAATTGGTCTTTCGGCCAGTGCTGCTATTAGCCATGGTGGCTCGGCAGGAGACAATGGAGTTGAGCCGGTTTGGAAGGAATGGTGCTTTGTGGGTTTGCTGGAAAAGGTGGGAATTGAATTGGAGAGAAAGCTCCATACTGGTTTTGGACTAGAGAGAGAGAGAGAGAGAGAGAGAGAGAAAGAAACTAGGTATGTGTTTTGGAAGCAAATGATGAAATGATTGATGAGAAGGGAGGCCTGCCATGTGTCTTTATATATAAAAGGAAAATATTGCTAGGATTAGGCATGAAATGTGATTGCATATTAAAATAAAAAAAGACCAACTTGCTTAATTGTACAATACTTAATTGCATATAATACCTAAGAGTATCAAGTCTAAAGATCACTCTGGCCTCGAAATTCGACCAAACAATTTCAGTGGTTATGATCTATCCTTGTTGTATTGTTTAGGGAAAATGATGGATACTTAATTATAACGTTGAAAAGTTTTACTTTATCGTGGTCCATGAAACCGTATCGGGAAATATCAGTGGTAGAATATTTTATGGTAAAACCATGGTTTAACCGTAGTATCGTTAAATACCGCCTACCGATTTAGCCTTTAATGCCGGTATTTCGTGGTTGAACCTCCGGTACGGTACGGTTTCATGGACCTGGGATGAGGCATGATAGGGTGCTTCACCATTAACAATCCGTCGAAAAATAAATTGGGGTGTAAGCTAATAAGACAAGAAGAATTTTGCCATCCAGGTAAAACCAATATAGAAACTTCCATGACCACAGAAAGAAGGCAACTATTCATCCATCCTCTCTTGTTTTTACAAATTAGAAAAGAAAAAAAAAACAAACAAAACATGCAAATATTTAACTGGGTAGCCCGACGCGGTTAGACTTTTTCTTACGTTGCTTTCAAGATAAAAAAAAAAATGTTTGGAGAATTTGAAGCTGGAGAAGTACAGCAAGAGTACTGGTCGAAGCAAAAATCCCCCCCTCCTCGATCTTGTCTCCAAATTGCTCCTGTCTGTGCCTTCAATTGGCTAAACTATCAAGTAGGAAGCATGTCTGCACGTGTGTGTGACTGAGGGGTCGATCGATGATGGTGAAGTTTCTCTCAGCTTCTAGCTCTACAGGGTGTTTCCACCATTCATAATAATGCCACCTATTTAAATCGTTGACATATAGGGATTTAATGTAACCAGGCATGTCAATTACGTACTCAAGGTCAATTTTACTCAAATTCAAGTAAATGTTTAGATGAGTTTGGGTAATGTATGGATATTGTTTTCCTATTCTAAATGAGTATGAGATGGGTATGGATGTCTATTTACTTAAAAAAAATTTAACTATACATACAGAATTAAACCTGTTTATAAAACTTAAAAAGTTTAGGTATGAAAATGTAAGGCACAAAATTCTTAGATACTAGAATATAATTTTTCATGATATTTGGAGGACTTTATATGCAAAAAAAAAAAACATTAAATCCAGGTACTAAATCTTAACAACTTTAAGTTTTGATACCCAAACTGTAATTTGTATATGGTATGTATACAAACCCAAATCGATATATTGAAATCCCAACTCAATTCAAATAAATGGATATGAATATAAACCTATCAAACTCTACTCATTTAACTCATATTTGGACAACCAATAACCTCTCTCAAGTTTGAACAATCTAATACGCTATTGGCAGCCTTTGATGGCAAAAATTTCATGTCTAGAATTTGGTAACCTCAATACTAAATCTAATTAGATTAAAGAGTTAATGGTATATTTGGCATAGGGGTGTGCAATAGTTTGGTCCGGACCGAACCAAACTCATGAGAATCGCGGTTCATTAGTGAAAAAACATTTTAAAACTAATGACCGGACCATCTTTGCGTTCGGTCCATTTGGTCAGGTTCGATCCGGTTCAAATATCATTTCGGTCCATCATTTCTTCAATAATTGTAAAATTCATGTAGACCAAGGACCGGACCGTATTATACTCGATCCGGTTTGGTCCATTGCGATCCGGTGCTATGAAGGTTTTCCTATCATGATCATAATACTATTTTCCTATCATGATCCCAATACCTTTTTCTCCTTATTCGGTGCGGTCCAAATTTTGGCACCAGAACTATTAAGGTTTTCCTATCATGATCCCAATACTATTTTTTTTTTCCTAATTAACATAGTCATTCAAATATAAATATCTTTCGGTTGTGGCCCTTACTGTTAAAAGACTATTGTTCTTCTGTTAAACGGGATCCAACTACTCACTTGACATGCTCATAATTAAGTGCTAACTCAGTATAAAAATCATGTAATTACAAAGTTATTTTAATTTTTTTTAGTTTTGACAAAAGATAGGCCGATTCGTTGATTTTGATTGGATATTATAAGATAAAACTCATGGAAGGGATTGGTTGGGAGGGGTTAAAAATATGAAGAATTATTTTTGTAATTTTGAGGACAGGGGCCTAGAACCTGGCAAATTACAACCCGACCCGTTAACCCAATCCGGAATCGCCCGAAAAGTAAAATAAATTGTAACCCGAAATCCAATTGACCCGAACCAGATAACTCGTGATTTTTTTGGTCGGGTTGGGTGGGTTAGCAGGTCGACCTGTTAGACTCGTTCCATTTTATATATCACTCACAAAATGATAAATCACACTTAAATTTGTGAGATGTTTAAAAAAAATCACAAGGATTTGAATGACATGTTTGGAGTTTAAGGATAATCAAATATCATGTGTTTCTTGTAGTAGTATTACTCTTATGATTATCTTTGACGATTTGCGCAATTTGTATTTCATTTCATTAGCATTGGAGGATTTGAGAATATGTTAATTGACATGTGCTAGATAAACTATTGTCATGCATATGTGAAATTTGTGTTCTTTAAGAAAATATGAAGCATGTTTGATATTGTTTATGAGAACGCTCATAGTCCGAAATGACTTGTAACCCGAACCGAAACCGAATGGGTTGGGTCAATATTTGACACAAAATCAGCCAACCAAACATGACCCTAATCGTAACCAAAATCTCCAAACCGAAATTACCCAACCCGACCCGATTGCCAGGTCTATAGGGGCCAGATCAGTGGTTGAGCCACATGTGGTCCAGGTGGGCCATTTGCACCACCTTGGCCCAAAACATGTGCAGTAATTTTATATTAATGCGATTGTTGATTGAATACGAGATCTCTATATTATTGTAGATAATTTTACGAAAACTAATATTATTTTTATCTATATTGAGCTTTTAATTTATATATTTTGTAAGTGAGTTTAATATAAACAAAAACTTACGAGTGTTTGTTGCTAGCTATCGGTTATCATTCAAGTGTTGAAAGAGCACTTACTGCAATAAGGAAAGTAAAAGAAACACTTCCAAGTAAGATGAGTTGTGGAATCGTGTACGATTTTTCGCTGTGGTATTTTAACATCGCTCATAATTTGCATGGTAAATATATTTTAGAAAAAAATTCAAAATATGAACACATACTGACATACAGAAAAATAGGTTATACATATTTTTTATAAGTCTTTTCAGTCCTTATTTTGGTTCACAATTTATTAAGGAAATATTGATAAAAGTAATGTCCTGCTGGACTAGGGTGTTATACTATTGATCAATGAGAATCATACATGTTTGTAGGGTTTTCAATTCCAATGGCATTGCTGTTACACAAGCACAACCACCAGTGCTGCAAAACCTAGAGACCAAATTCTTCGAGGAATGGGTAATCTGTGTACCCAACAACAGGATCGGAAGAATAAAACGTGACTCTATCGAACTTGTTCAGAGGTGCATCCAACTCAAATCTCCTGGGCAAATCAGGATTCGCCAAGAAGCAACGACCATAAGCCACTAAATCCGCACGCCCCTCTTCCACAGCTCTGTTCCCATCTTCCCTGGCGAACCCACCAGCAGATATGAAAGTACCCTTAAAAGCCTTTCTCATAGGAACCAAACTTTCTTGGGCCTGGAACAGTCGATCCCCTAACTTCATTCTGGGCTCGATCACGTGACAATAAGCGATGCCATATTCGTTCAAGGCTTGGGCCATGTACAGGCCCAACTCTTCTGGGTTCGAGTCGCCGCATTCTAGATAGTCCGCGAAAGGAGAAATCCTAATCCCAACTCGGCCCGAACCGATTTCCTTGCTCACGGCTTGGACTATCTCTAAGGCGAAACGACATCGGTTCTCCAGAGAGCCGCCATATTCGTCGGTCCTGTCGTTGACTTCATCTTTCATGAATTGGTCGATTAGGTAGCCATGAGTCGCGTGAATCTCGATTCCGTCAAAACCTGCTTTTACGGCAGCTTTTGCGACGATTCGGAAATCTTCGACAATCGCGGGGATTTCATCGGTCGCCAATTTTCTTGGAGGTGAGTATGGGAGTCGGTAGTCCAAGTCCAGTCCTTTGTCCGTACATGAGATTGGAGCTTGGCCTTTAGGCTGCATATCTGTATGGAACGACAGCGACACATTAATTATTGCATGTCCATGGACATATACCAATCATAGATAATATTCTAGACTGTCATTGAATAATTAACGATAACCGTTTATAGTTATGAACCAAGTTTTAATTTCTAAGATAACTCTTCCCATTATATATGATTTCCCCTAAAATAGTTGAATTATGCAATCGCAGAGAATGGTACGAGATGCTCTTTTGCATAAGTCGTTAGAAATAAAACTCACATTAAAGTAATGAGGCAAGTAACAGAAAAATTAAAGTTTGAGATGTTTATATTACTATCCAAGCATCAGATCGAAAATACAACAGAAAAAATTCGTTGTATATATAGGACATCAGTATCAAGTATTTAAGAGGATAGGAACCCAAATATAAATCATTCCATATTTGGCTCAAATTGCACAATTTCATATTAAAAGAGCATTCCACATTAATTTACCATGTAGATTTAAGCAAGGTAGACAATTAGGAAGTAGAAGTGCAAATGAGCCAAACCGAGCTGAGTTTTGACCTAATTTGCGCTCAACTTGTTAATAAATAAATAGAGTTCGAACTCAACTAGTTTACTAAAATTTTGGATTGTGTTTGACTAGAGATCAACTAGAATTCTACTCGTTAATAAGCTCATCAAATAGCTAGTGACTCTGAATTCTGTCTCCTATGAGCAGAATTCATATTTATTTCGACGTCTTGAGTCACTTCATTTATTGGCCTACCAAGTAATTATTAATATCCACAACAGACCTGTATTTGAAGCCCTGCCAGCATGCCAAAGTTGACAAAAAAATATTCCACCTTTGGCATGGACACCGTCAACAATGGGCTTCCATGCTTCTACTTGCTCTTCAGTCCAAATGCCAGGGCTGTCGGTATAGCTTTCAATCGACAAGGTAGCAAATAAGTTGCACAGACAGAAAAAGCTGTATATATATATATATAGTCTATTCGAAAGGCAAGGGAGAACTGAATTTGCGAACCCGTGAGCGGTTGGCGAAACTGCAGTTGCTTCTGCAATGAGAAGGCCGCCATTGGTGGCTCTCTGGGAGTAATACAAGATGGCATGAGGCTGAGGCACATTTCCATACGATCTCTGTCGAGTCAATGGTGCTAACACAATTCTGTGGAACAATGGGTAGAAGCATCATCACATCAGTGGAACGGAATCAGTTCGAACTTGCCTAGAAGAGAGTAGTACTAATGATGTTGTCAAAATGTAAATTATACGTGCCTGTGAGAAAGGCTGAAGTCACCCATCTGGTGGTTGGTGAGAAGAGGAATCGCCATTTTCTCTGCTTTGCTGCCGTGTCGTGAGAAGATACAGTACTTGCTGCTGTAGAATGTGGCCACAGCAGATAGTTTGTTATATATATAGGCCAATTGTTGAATGGTAATTTGCAATAATGCAAGTTTATCCAAGAGTGTCCCCATTGTCATCTCAAGGAGACATATAATTTACTCCTATAGTTGGATCAACTAGCAACAAGATCACATGAAAAGAAGGTTGAACAGCCAAATAATATTGGTGGTTCATTACAAACAAAGCACATGACAACACTTGGCAATTATGGTGTGGGTTCACTAGCTTTGATTAAAAAAACAAATAATGCATATGTATGGCCACAAGAGTAATGGCTTTGTCTTCATCTTTCCAATTATATAAATGTATGTGTTGTACGTATGGGAATTGTGTATGAATAGCCTCAATTGGAGGCAATGTAAGAGGCAGAGAGCATAAGAGCTATAATAGCATATATGTTGTGAGCTCTTTGTAAAGGCAACAATTGCCTAATTGTGTGAGATATTAGAGTGAAATAATTTCCTCTGTTATTTTCGATCCTAAACCTACTACATATTTCCGCTGTGCCCCAACACCAATAGGGAACACCCAGAATCATCTTTTCTTTAAATTTTTATTTTTTTGTGGTGATAAAGAAAACTAAAAAGCATTGCATAATAAACTGAGATTATCTTTTCTTTAATGAAGTCGAAGAGCAGTGTCGGGTGCTTGTATCTTGATTCTCTTGTCGGTTGCCGCTAATAATAGTACCGCCATCATGCATTCCAGACTGCAAGTCATGTGTTGAAAAGCCTATGATCTTTCTGATGATTGTGGTGTTCATAGTTAATTGGTTTGATTAACAATTTATTCATGAAAGAAATTCTTCGGAAAGAATGAGTGGCTGACTTGAACTTTAATAATTAAGAGAGGGGTTAAAGATTTATTGATTACTCTATTTTTTAAATTCAATATGTAAATTTTACGTGTAATTTGTGTCAAATGGTAATTTACAGTTAAGGTAAAATGAGTTTAATATATCACACATGGTGGGCAACACATGAGTGATTGATCATCAACTAATTGATTATACACGTCCATTATTTTCAACAATTGAATGGAGAAGACAAGTTTGACTTTGTGCAAATGAATGAGGAAGTTGAGCCATCTACTCATCTCACCCACCCACAGCCCAATTAATTGAACATGTTATGTGTCTTCAATAATCAAAGAAAGAAGCAAAGGAATATAAAAAAGTATGTATTATTATTACCCAAAACCCGCGAGCTGACCCAAACCCGGTCGAGCTAGTCGGTCAAGGGTTAATGGGTCACCCGTTTTAGCCCGGGAGTATGGAAAGAGTCATTATATTGTACTTATCCTGATAAATTATATAAAATCTCATCTAACATACGAGTTATAACATATAATATTACTCCAAAATAACATGTCGTACTTAGATCCAACATATAGTGAAAATTCACACACACTTATATAACTTCAATATTCAAATGTTCAACTTAGGATTCCAAAGATTGAGTTAGGCGAAAAGAAAAATCGGAAAATAGGCGCATTTCACAAACTAAAGAAAAAAAATGACACAATTTCACCTCTAAACCGGTACATACCTTATAGCGGTCGACCCGACAGATACGTGCGATCTATTTTTCTTACCGGACCAAGATCAAAATGGGTCGACCCACAAGTTGACAACCTTTTTATTACCGGTTGTTGCATCTACCATTTATGATTTGTCTTATATATATTAATGTGACTGATGGGTGTCAGAGAAATAGAAAGCATAAAAAAGAAACGCAAGGAAGTTCTGTGCGTATGCTTGTAACAACAAGGGAAAAAATATTTAAGCCCTTATTTAGTTGAGTGTGTTTTCTAAATTGAGTGATAGATATTACATTTTTTTTTTTTTATTGATTGTAGATTCTACCATACTTATGCTAATATTCAACAATTTGACTAATATTTCGAATTTAAGGGGGTTAAGGGGGATTATAGCGCCTTTTGACTTCAACCTAATTCCTCCACTATGGTGAGTGATATTGGCTTGGTGAAATTTGTTCTTAATGGTGCTCTCGTTATTTCTTTAATGTTATTAGTGTTATCTGGGTGATGGTTCCAGGGCAGCAGCTGATTGCTGTCTACTATTTGCCTTTCCTTATGCTTGGTTAGAGTTGTTAATATAAATCTGAACTCAGGATCCCATCTATAGTTGTGGAATTTGTCTCTTCTGAGTGCACTGTGTTCGTCGCCCAGGTTTTCGACTATCGATTATTTATGCGGACTTGGCAAGAAAATTGATAAAACGCTCTGTTGGCTGTTTGCCGTCTATAGACCAATTGCCTCTCGCGCCAGCTCCGTACAGCACTCCGTCGCCCGTCATTAATAGCTTTATCTGAGCATGCATCTGCATATCAATGTCGAGAGAACATCCAAATTTTGGCTTTGGTGTCGTACAACTGATTCTACTAAAGGAAAGTTCATCCATATCATCGCAGCTCTGAACCATAGATTAAACATATACTTTAAGACACTTAAAAAAAAAAAACATTATCTTCTTTCTCCATTTTAGGCTAAAACATCACTATTTGATGACATTTTTTTGGAAGGTTTTATGATATAAATTATTAAAATTTATCCAATTTGCAATTATAAGACATTAGATGTTTTTTTTACATTTTGATACCTCTTTGATAGTTTTTGTGATTTTTCAGATACCCAAAAAAGTTTGAGAGGGGTATTATTGTCAAAACAAAATTTTCATATTTTTCATAGCAGAGCTAGAATTTATTCGACCTATTATGAGTATATATGTATCCATGGTCTTGAGAACCAGGTAACACAATTATACCAGAATAATATCAACTGAAAGCTCGTCGTAACTTTTCTTGTAGTCTGTCTCATTCACATCTAGCGAGGAAATCACATATATTATATGACTGGTTTTCGTTATGTATGATTTCAATGGTTTGATCAACACCAAGGTTTGTATATAACAATTCAGTGCTGACTTCCATAATAATATGTTAAAAAGTCCCATTAGGCATTAACCATGTAATCCATTTTAGGCTAAAACATCACTATTTGATGAAATTGTGGAAGGTTTTATGATATAAATTATTAAAATTCATCCAATTTGCAATTGTAAGACATTAGGTGTGTTTTTTACATTTTGATACCTCTTTGATAGTTTTGTGATTTTTCAGATACCCAAAAAAGTTTGAGAGGGTTATTATTGTCAAAACAAAATTTTCATATTTTTCATAGCAGAGCATGAATTTATTCGACCGATTATGAGTATATATGTATCCATGGTCTTGAGAACCAGGTAACACAATTATACCAGAATAATATCAACTGAAAGCTCGTCGTAATTTTTCTTGTAGTCTGTCTCATTCACATCTAGCGAGGAAATCACATAAATTACATGATTGGTTTTCGTTATGTATGATTTCAATGGTTTGATCAACACCAAGATTTGTATATAACCATTCAGATGCTGACTTCCATAATAATATGTTAAAAAGTCCCATTAAACATGTAATCCAAATATGCAAATAGAAATATTGTCCAAGTTGAAAATGAAGGGTACTGATCTTATAGTTAGGCCGTCGTGTACGCTGTTCTTTGTTTTGTATGGACTGCCTCATGTACTTAATTACCTCTTTCTGCTACCCTTGTTTTCTATTGTGCAGGTGAGGACGAATTACCTAGGCTGAAGATAAACACAATTTCTAATAACAGTGTTATTTGATTTCAACGGACAATATTGTACTAATGAACTACCCAGTTATAACATCTGCCTATATGTGTTAGTGTAACCGGCCGTACGTCGGCTAGTGGAATCTACTAGGGCTGGGAATCCGGTCTCGGTTTTTCGGTCAAACCGGAAACCGGCCAGTTTAAACCGTCCCGGTTGTAACCGGAAACCGGATTCCAAGTAACCCAATCCAGTTTGCGGTTGCAGTGGTCACAGCCCGGTCCGATCCGGTTAAAACCGGAAAAACCGGATAGCCCAACTTGAGCCCACCCCATCTCCCCAGCAAGCCCTCCTCTCTCTACAATTTAATTAGGCCGGAGCCCAGCTACAGGCCCACCAACCCTCCCAAACCCCTAAAGCCCGACTCCACAACCCTACATCGTCTCCCACTCTCCCTCGAGCTCACAATCAAAGGCGCAGCCGCCTTTCTTCGATCTCTTCCCTTCTCTCCAAATCTCTTCCAGCGGCAAAGCCAAAAATCACCCTCCCAATTCACATCTCCCAAATCCCACTCTATCTCACTCACCCTCTCTGCTTGCCTCTCATCCGATTCCATGGCGGCGGCGGCGGCGACACCAAGACGATCGATTTGGAGCAACCGCAGCTCTGCCTCTCTCTTCTCAGTCTCACCAGCCGATTTGAAGCGCCATCGCTCTGTTTCTCGCCCGGATCGAGACATGCATGACCTGACCTGCCTTCCTCTGGATTTCTCCCATATAGAAACATGCAAGACCCGCGCACGACGACGACGGCGATGATGGAGGTAGGGAGCTCTTCGGCTTCCCTGCGCGCGACGAGGACGAAGAAGGCAAAGAGCTCTCCAGGGAGGAGAAACGGCAGAGGAAAGATCGAGAAAGAATGGGAGTAAAGAAATTTTTGATTTCCAGAATAGAGAGAGATTGAGAAAGGTAGGGACTAGGGAGTTGTCGAGAAGTGGAGGAAGGAGATATCTTAGATCCCTCTTTTCATTTTTATTTTTATTGATTTTTATTTTTCTTCCTCAATTTTTATTCAAACGACAACGTTCTGGGAGAGGTTAATGCCAGCCCAGTTTTCGGTTTAAAACCGGATCAGACCCAATCCGGTTACGGTTGAAACCGGATACAATCCAATCCCGTCTCCGGTTGTGGTATTTGCCAAAACGGTTATAAAAAACCGGGTCAATCCGGTCCGGTTTCAACCGGACCGGATTGTTTCCCACCCCTAGAATCTACCGCCATTAGTGAACTGTGG